CTTTCCCTGCGTTTGCTTCCCTAGACTTGATCTTCCAGGCTTCTGGGATGAAGTACCTTAAAGGCCTGTAGAAGCAGTGGGAGATGAGCCAGGACCAACTGGCTTGTCAGCTGTCCCAAACTACCAGGAAGCATGCCCCTGCCATCGGTCCTTGGAGCACAGTTGGGGCACTGCAGCAAGACGGGGAACAGAAAGGGCCTGTTGTGTTCAGGGAAAAGAAGCTTTTTTCATCAGCGGGAGCATATCTTTCCTGTGCGAGTTTGCTGTTGGCTGGAAGACCTTCACCCAGTTCTAAATGACTCTGATCAGACTGACTGTGACTCATTCATCTGGAGTTGTCTTAGGTGTAGAACTAGTACATACCTAGTGGGAGAAGAAAAAACATGGTGCATTTGCAGTAGTAATTTGCAGCTTTAAAGTAATGCTAGTAGTCAGATCTTTTTCACAAAGGGGCTGGCAGGCAGTCACTGAGCAGTGTTGGAGAAATAGTAAATTATGAGACACAGTTATTTCACCATTTTTTGGGATGTGGTCTCTGTCACTGGTCAACTTGGGACAGAAACAGAGGGAAAATGAGACTTCGCATCATTTAACTACTTAAAACAGCCTGTTCAGTGATGCCAAGAGAACCTGAAAAGTTTATTAGAGTAGCCTGCTTTGTATCCTGGGAATATGTAAGCTTTTGCATGCACTTCTGCAGGGATACATTTGCTGAAGATGCTATTCAGTGACTAATGCTCTTACCTTCCCTTTGCTGCTGCCTTCCTTCTGCAGGGATTGACCACAGCCCATGAACAGTTCAAAGCCACTTTGCCAGATGCCGACAAGGAACGACAGGCCATTCTAGGAATCCACAATGAAGTCTCAAAGATTGTCCAGACATACCATGTCAACATGGCAGGAACGAATCCTTACACTACAATCACCCCACATGAGATCAATGGCAAATGGGAACATGTGAGTTCTTTCCAGCCTCGCAAGTTAGTGTGGGAGGATGCCGCTGCTCAGTCACTGGGGCCCCAGGAAGTGGATTATTTACTCTGCAGTTACCCTCTCATGCTTACTGATTGGCTTTTCTTTTTTTTTGTCATTTGTTTTTGGCTCAATTGCCATGTGCTTGGGAAGTGGAAGAGGTCTTTCATATAAATGCCTAAGGGGTGTCAGATCCCTTTTACTTGCTGTTTTCATAATGAAAGATGCTAAGTTAAGAGCTTTGAGGTTTTCAGTCCTCAGCTGACCTGACAAGCCAGCAAGTACGGCATGTGAGTCAGTATCCTTTTTAACTGTTCAACCCTTCAGATGCTTTATCTCTGTAGCCAAGTAGCATTCCCTTGCTGTAATCCTAAAAGAGCAGCTACTCTCCATACCAGCTGTGCTGATGGTTCTTACTACCAAACAAGATCACCAAAGTGAGATCTGAACAGGGTCCTGCAATTCAGTTAACATGAGCCACTAAAAACCCAAGTAGTGAATGGAAGCTTCTTCTGGTCTTCCATGGCCTGAGATGGGTTTGCAGCATGCATCCTACAGCAGATAGGATTCATATTCCATGAGCCTTCCCACCACGTCCTAAACTGTATGACTGCTTGTTTTCAGTGCAAACACCCACTCCTCCCTTCCTTGCAGCAACTTCTACATTTACTGTGCACGTGCCTTTGTATGTATAAACTGCACACTTTGTTACCCTTTGCTGTAGGTGCGGCAACTGGTTCCCAGAAGGGATCAAGCCCTGATGGAAGAACATGCTCGCCAGCAGCAAAATGAACGACTTCGTAAACAGTTTGGTGCACAGGCCAATGTCATTGGACCCTGGATCCAGACCAAGATGGAGGTAGTGCTTTGCTCACTTTGAAACAGTCCGTTTTCCTCTGTGGTCATCACTGATATTCTTATCCTTGGTCTTTCTTGACCGCTGTCAGTCAGTCTTCCCTCAGGTCACAGCAAGAGAAACTTCCATAGAAAATATGGAAAATCTAAGACTGCTATTGGTTACTGAAGTGCTCATATTTTTTTTCCCCTAACTCTTTAGTACAGAGATAAATATGACTTAAAATGGGGAACACTGGTATTTTAATAGAATTGTGTTTATATGCAGCAAGTTAAAGACCCTACATCAGGAGCATATTTTGTGTAACTGCTTTCATAGCGATGTTCTTGATGCACATGACAAAATAAATACAATGAGCGTATCAAACATCAGCAGAGGAGACATTTGTAAGGAAGATCTCTCTTTAGGTGAGATTTCAGTTAAACAAGTTGGAGTTGATTAATATGGAAAAATATGAAACTTACTGATGGCAGAAGCTTTCAAGAAAAGAGCAATTAGAGAAATATGTATGAAGGGACTAAGTTAGTGGCAGACAGTATATCAGAAAAAGATCTGGCTTGGTGTACATTACTAGCTTATGGACTGCAGTTTCCTTTTTTTTTTTCTTTGTATTCTTGTATTAGACACATCTCATGTGACTCTCCTCACTTGGAGAATGTTCAGCGCTCTGCTAAAGTTTTTTCTGACACTGTCAGCTCATTTAAAGTAACTGCTTCATGACATATTTTTATTGAATCATCCTGTGTGAGCGTATAGCTGCAATAAATGTCAAGCATGTTGAGGCTTTTCCTTCCAATCGGGTCTAACTCCTTTGGCTTTGCTAATGTAGGAGATTGGCCGCATTTCAATAGAGATGCATGGGACTCTGGAGGACCAGCTCAACCACTTGCGGCAGTATGAGAAAAGCATTGTGAATTACAAACCAAAGATTGACCAGTTGGAAGGAGACCACCAACAGATCCAGGAAGCGCTTATCTTTGACAACAAGCGCACCAACTACACCATGGAGGTAAGAGTTTCGGCAGCAGATCAGCCAGCCTCATCTGCTGTGGCCAGTTAGCATCAGCCACATCTAGCTCTGGCAACATGTCATGGCTCTCAGGAAAATGGAGAGCTTGACAATGTGGCCAAGCATGCAACAACATGTCACTGAATTTCTTTTTTTGCCTTGCTATACTTTATGCCAACCCATTCCAATGTACTTCCAAATATAGACAATACAAATAACCTGAATGAGATCAACAGTATTGCTTGGTCTCATTTGTCCTGCCACCTGATTGTGGCAGCTGGGATTAGAAAGCCCGGGGAAGTGCTGGTGATTTTGAGCTGCCACAGCCTGGCAGAACAAGAAAAAAGTCCAACAAAAGCTTTTTAAAGTCAGAGTCTGGCTTTCTGTTGACAACATGAGGTTTCTTAAAAGCAATCTGAGTTCAACATGAGTCTAGCAGAACACAGGCAGGCTTTGAAACTTGTCTTTTGGTTTCTGGCCAGCTCTCCATTAACCAACAGCAGAGGCTGTGGAGCACCAGTGTCTTCCAAGGACTGTGGTTTATTTATTTTCTTGGTAAGGAGAGTTTTTTGCCTAAGTCCTAGAAGCACTAGATTTGATTTTCATTTGTGTTAAAGGCCCCCAATATGTTGATCTGAAAAGGCAAAGGAACCTTGTGATAGGACCACAACTTTCTGAAGATCAGGAATTGGCCTCTTCAATATTTTTTTCAGTCAAAATTCACATTTTAAATGTCTGGTTGGCTCACACAGCAGATAAGAAGGAAACTTTTCTGAGCAAACGGACTTCTCCTACCTTGGCCACCAGGATCATTTAATTTGCAACAAGTGGCACATTCAATCCACTGGTCCCAGAGGCAGAATAGCTACTATTTAATTTGAAAATTGTCCTGTCCTCTTTTTTTCCAGCATATCCGAGTGGGCTGGGAGCAATTACTAACAACAATTGCTAGAACCATCAATGAAGTGGAAAACCAGATTCTGACCCGTGATGCCAAAGGAATCAGCCAGGAACAGATGAACGAGTTCCGGGCTTCTTTCAACCATTTTGACAGGGTAAGTCAGTGCTGACTGCAGCTTGGTAAGCCACAGGCTTCCATGTAGACTGCAGTGCAGTAAAAAACAAACAGTCACTGTGATAAAACTAGATCAATAGAAGATGTTTCATTCTCAAAAATGCCACTCCTGTGCAGCAGTCATTCCTGTGAAGACTGCTAAGTGATCATTAGGCTGGGAGGCAAAGTATATTTTCACGGGAAATTGATCAGATTCTTTGGAGCAGCTGTCCTGCACTATGACATACCATCACATAAACTTGTACTGAAGAAACCGGTATTGCTCTTGTATGGAGCAAACAGGAGGATCTATATACACCATACATATTGCATGACATAGATAAACCCTGAGGTAAAGCCTGCCTTGCCTTACTGTGGAAATACATGCCAAGGCACTAATAGGTGCAATAAGAAAGGAATTCCTTAAAGGAAATCCTCCTACTCTCAACTTGCCAACCTGTCTGCAGCTCTTCCTTCTACAATCTGAATCACAAAGGTGTCATGCAGGGAAGCAGAGACAGTAGCCCAAGCCTGAAACTGGCTCATTATCAACCCCTTCAGTGTCATCTGGAAATCCATGAGCAGCCTGCAGAGATAGTAAGTGAGCCTCCACCACTTGCTGCACCAGCAAGACTGTTTGAAAGGTCTCCAGAGAAAAGGCTGCAGCCTACCCTCAGAGACTGGCAACACTTTCACATTGCTGAACATGGGCTATTTCAGCCTTTCTCTAGCTGCCTAAGAAAAACAAAAACCATGGCTTCTTTTCTTAGCAGAGAGACCCATAAAGTCCTGTAGATTTTATATTTTGACCTTCATATCATTTGCCCCTTTCTCCACAGTAGTCTGAATGATAATGCAAAGAGAACGTGGTTTTCCCATCTTCAACGGTGTGTTTGATTTATGAAGGCTTAACACTGATTTTAAAAGCTGATTTTTGAGGAAAGTAACTTGAAATTGGCCCCACCATCCTGTCTGTATCTTCCTTGGTCTGCTCAGAGAAGGTGGCGTCGGGCCGGGGCTCTTCAGTGCTTGGGGGCTGTCCCAAGATAAAATTCTGCAGGGTGGATGGGGATTCTCAGTTCCTGTGGTAGCTTGATGGGTACATCCAAACACTGGGGGAGTGGGGGATGAGCAAAGGGAAGAGCAGCTGCCAAGCTGTGTTGTGCTGCGCTGTACCGCAGTGCTGTTTGCAGAGCTGAACACTTGAAATAGCTTTGCCAGTCAAAGCTCCACCTCACGTGCAGGTCTCATAAATACAGCAATAACACTGCTCCCCTGAGCTTCAGCTGTTTTTCCTTGTTTGTTCCTGGGATGCCCTGACAGCTAAGCTTCCTTGGGTGTGTTGCCAAACGTACCTGCCCTCACCTACTCCTTTAGTGGGACTTTTAACTAGAAGATTAAGGCAATGCTTCCCACTGCCTCTGCCTGCTTACCTGCACTCTGGGTTACTAGTGAAACACAGGGCTTCTGGCACTATGGATAACAAGTAGTGATGCAAGTAATTCACTTGGGAGATTGAGATCTTGAGGCTTCTGAGCATCAACTGGTTTTGTCATTCAAATGCTCTCAAGATGTGACAAGCTCTCTGAGAAGGAACTGTTCCAAGAGCATTTTTAGCACATCCTGAAATGTCATTGTGATATCTAATGTTGTGCACTTTTTATTTTTCTTCCCTGTCTTTCTGCATGTCATTCTTCCTCTGCCTCTCTCCTCACCCACTGCATGGTGCACCTGTTTGTTGTCCTTCCACCTCTCTTTGATCTCCTCTGTGTCTCCCTTCCTTCTGCCCTACACCATCACCCCACTGGCACTGCATGTCCTGCTGCCTGGCACACCGCATAACCAGGACCACTCCGGCACACTTGGCCCTGAGGAATTCAAAGCCTGTCTCATCAGCTTGGGTTACGATATTGGAAACGATGCACAGGTACTGAATGCTAGTGGTGAACACAGACAGATGTTAAACTGTGAAAAATAACAGTTTTTCCCTTTCTTTTCTTGTTCGTCTTAATCCATCTGTCATTGTTGTTCTTGTGTTTGACTATATATACATTACTTTTCTATACTACTTCCTCTCTAAATGTACTTTGGTATCTATTCCTTCTTAATTCACTAATTGTTTGTCTTGGGAAAATTCCTTTTATGTCTTCAAACTTTTCCATTTACTTCTGTGTCACTTACCACTCCTTTTCTTGTCCATCTCTCAATCTGTCGTGCTTGATATCTTCATTCCTTTTTTTCATCATCGATATATTCCTTGTTTTGTAAACTATCCCAAAACCACCTTTGTTTCTTCATGGTTTCACAAACTATCTTTTCTCTATTGTTTTTCATTGTCCTGTAAATCCTTCCTTCCATCTTCTTCCCCCTGAAACTCATTCTTTGTAATGTCTGCTGTGGGTTCATTTCTCCCTGGACTGGTCTCCTTTTTCTCTCTTGGCTTTTTCCATCTTTGCATCATCCCCTGTAGAAGAAGACTGGTATGATGGATTGTGAAGATTTCCGAGCCTGCCTTATCTCCATGGGTTACAATATGGTAATGTAGAGCCCTCTGTCACTCCTGATCACAGTGATTCTTGTAGGCACCTTCAAAAATAAAGGGAGAATGTGTAGTGAATCAAGGTAAACACAGCCTTATTTTCCAGAATTATCATCAATGGATGTTAGATCCAGTATTAGTTGTACATGTAAAATTCTTGTCTCACTGCAGTAGCTGAAGGTAAAAAAATGGAAATCATTGTCTAATTCCTGTGTATTTCCAATGAGACTTACATTTATCAAACTGTGTAGCTACAAGTGGAAGAAACAATAAACTTCCTCATACTGGTACCTGCACTCTGCACAGTGCACACAACCTCCACAGCCCAAAATGTGAATTGAACTCATCTGGAAGTATACATGACCTGATTTCTGAATACACTCAAATGCTGCTCCTCTCATTCCTACCATTTATTTCACATCTCTCTTCCTGTACATGTAAGTAGGTTCAAGTTCCCATCATCCTCTCTGTAGCTTTTCCCTCACCAGAATACCTGCATATTCAGAACAGCAACACGTGGCACCCTGAGAGGCACAATAACTAATAGGAAGAGCTTCCTTGAAGACTGATGCTCATCAAAGGGCAGGAGGAGAGCAGAGTGCAAAAATATTCAGCTGTACTCTCAGTATCTTTGCTCCTGATGTCAGACAAAGCAGTGTTTATTCATCTTACTCATCAGCCCAGTATAAATACAGACTCTTTAGTGTGGTGTGCCAAGCCGCAATAACATTTTATTAGATACCTTAATTACTCTTGAAGGTATACTGTTTTAGGTGTATTAGAAGAGCCTGTTACCAGAAGACTCAGCTCTGCTCTCCCCTCCTCCTTACCCAGGAAGGAGATTCAGAGATGAGAACAGGTGATCTTCTCTTTATATGAAAAAAAAAAATGCAGCAAACTACACTACAAGGTTTTGACTTCTGTAGCAAACTTCTCTGTGGGATCTTCCCTGTAAAGTCTAATTCCCTGGGACACTCCAGATATATAAGTCCTTCTTTCCAAAGCCTGTCTAGTTAACACGAACCAAATACTATTAAAGACCCCAGAGACATTTCTTCTGGTGGTTTCTGTTCTGGCAGCTGAAGAGAACTGTAAAAGTTCTCTTTTAGTAAATGAAAGTAAAAGGATTTGAGGAATGCAGATCTTCAAATATTGCTACAGACATCTAGCACAACATGTATTACAGAGAAACTTGTGTCTTCCCCTGAAGTCTGTGTGATATTGTTCCCTCATAGGAGCATTGTCCTAGAGCTAGATGGAGCTTGATGCTATCCTAGGGCACAGCTGAGAATATTTTATTCCAAAGGACAAATGAGTGGGAAGCATTTGTACATAACAGCAAGCTAAAAAAGAATATCCTTGTTAAAAAAAAACAAGTGGTTTCTATTTGGCTTTGTTTTTCTAGCTATGAGATATGCTGCTGAACAGTTTCTCCCTGCTTTCATAGTGCTGCTGCCCAAATGTCCAGGCTTACGTGACTCTCTTGTTCTCCAGGGAGAGGCAGAGTTTGCCCGCATCATGAGCATTGTTGACCCTAACCGCTTGGGTGTAGTGACATTCCAGGCCTTCATCGACTTCATGTCCCGGGAAACAGCAGATACAGATACTGCTGACCAGGTTATGGCTTCCTTCAAGATACTGGCTGGAGATAAGGTGAGGCTCCACACCTTCCTTTCCTGCATCTGCATTGCTCCTGCTTTCCTTTTTATCTCTTGTCTCCAAGAGAAAGTGTCGAGGGAAGCCCTCTCTAGCATGGAGGATATTTTCACAGGAACACTGTGCAGTGCTGGAGGAGTGCAAGGCTGAAGTGTGGGTTAATGAGCAGCTTGCCAAGGCACTTGAAAGTCCTGTTTAGCTGTCAGTCAGAACTATGCTGCCCACTCTTAATTTAATTAAGAGCTTGGTTGTGATTTGTTATTTTAAAATGTATGAACAAATTCAACAGATGGTTCTTGATTAGTCTTGAAAAACTATTAATTACTGACAGCTGTAAACTTCAGATGATCTTTCTGAGATAACACGTGTTGCTATACAATCAATAGTAGGTTTTCATTGAGGATATGCTGTATCTGCAAGAGGAGCATCTTTTAATCATAGAAATTGGTCAAAAGTAGGAAAACTTACAGGATTATACTAAAAATATTAATTTTCTAAATTTGCATCATCAGTGGAACCAGCTGGTAAAAAAAAAAAATTATGTAATCTATTTTTCTTCTGTAACAATCCCTACTAATCTTTTATGTAATTGAACAAATAATATGTACATGTGACACCAATATATTTGCTGATGATTTTATTAATCGCACTTGAAATGTGAGATACCATTTCTCAGATTGCAATGAGTTACCCTTAAATCCAGTACCGGTTCCCACGTTTCACTAATAAGCTTTTCATAATCTGTAATGAAGAAACCCACAATACCCATCCTTTAGGCATCTGCCCTACTGAAGCCAGTCCTATTGTCTTTCAAGTACTGAAAATAGCACATTATTCAGATAAGCTAATCACTGAATAAATCGGTAATTCTGGATGCAGTATTACTTATTAACTGGTTTACTCTGTACAGTACAGTAAATATACTTGTCAGTGTTTAATATGCTCTAGTGACTAAAACATGAATCAGACAGTATTTCATTATGAAGAAAAACTCCTCTTACTCCAGTCATTAAACTGAAAGGCAGGAGGGGAAAAAAAGAATAAAAAGTCACAGGAGAGAGATGGTGTGAAACCTGAACCATTATTCAGACTGCAAATGCCCATGAGTCACTTGGCTAAAGACAACATACTGGTTAGCAAACAGGCAGCTACTGTTACTGCATGGAGAGAAGCCAAGCTACCTCAGCTCAATGAGTCTCCGGAAGCTGAATTTACATAAGAGGTTTTGCTTGCTTATTAAAAATGTCTGCTGTGAAAGGCAAGGATTGTTGGGGGAACTGTGGAAGCAATACAAATACAGAGTGTTTGCTTATGTCTGTCTGCATTGGTGCCACCAACCAGAGCGAGCGGGGATGGTTCCTTTCCTTGCTCTGAAGAGAGGGAATGGCAACTCCCAACCAGCACAAGCAGCTGTTACCTCCTGGCAGTGAGGGACAGGATCCAAATGAAATTTCTGCTTCCTCCCATTTGCTTTCAACAGGACCTCCATTGCCAAAGGGAAGGCAGAGTCTTACACTAACAACTTACCTTACTTGCCTCCAGGTCTTTTCTTTAGGTGTGCTAGCATCTCTCCTGCAAAAACAATCTTTCTCTTCATTGTAAAAACCATTTTCTTGTCCAAATGGTAGGGAGTGGCTGCATTTCCTCCCAAGGCATATGCGCAGAGAGCTCCCTGTGCAGGTGTACGGTACCAGTCTAGTAGTTGGGGTCCTGTCTTTGACTGTTGTCTGCTTCTCTGGGGGTCCAGGGGGTGGTTGTGCCTCTGAGGAAGGTCAGTTTTCTGAAAATAACAATCGCCTTATTGTTTGTCCTCATTGCAGAACTACATCACTGTGGATGAATTACGGCGGGAACTGCCTCCTGATCAGGCCGAATATTGCATTGCTAGAATGGCACCCTACAATGGCCGTGATGCTGTACCCGGTGCCCTGGACTACATGTCCTTCTCCACGGCACTCTATGGCGAAAGTGACCTTTAACTTTTTTCTGTCCCACCACACGCTCCCTCCCCTCTCCCCCGTCCTACACGCCCTTCTTTCTCTTTGCAAAGCAGCCTCTGCTCCGCTCTTTTTTGTGTTTCCCTGTTTTGCTTCAGATAACAGATCACATTTTTAAGTGGGGGGGAGGACATTGACATGGCACCACCTACCTTGCCCTTGAAATGACAGTTTACAAAGTTATTTTGTGCAAAAAAGTTAAGTTTTAAAAAGAACAGACATATTTTATTATAGAAAAAGGTATTTTTCTCCACCAGATTGAAACTTAAAAAGAAAATGTTAAAATATTGCACCAAATATTTTTTGTTGTGACATAGAAAGTCAAGCACAATGTTACATTCCATCCTTTAGAAAAAAAACCAAACAACACCACAACGCCACTTGTTCTGTTAACTTTTACATTTGCGTATGTCTCTTTTATCACGTTTATCTTGGGAGGGGGGAAGGCACACAAGTGCATGTGTTTGCTGGTTCACTCATTTCATGAAAATATTTTATGATAAACTTTTGAAATTGCTGTGTTTTCTAGGGAAAAAATAATGTACACAGCTCATGTTTTCATATTTAATTAAAAAATACAATATGCCTCCTATGTTTATCAGTGCACAACTTTTTTGTTGCTGAGAGTTGTCTGGTTTCAGAACATGAAGCTTGAGAGTTGATAACTTTGATATTGCTTGTCACAAACCATATTAAAAATTTCTTGTGATAACAAATCTAGACTTTATTCATTTGTATAGTAAAATTGTTTAATCCTATTAAGTTGAAGCCACAAACATGATGAAGAGAATCCAAAATTAATGTTTTTAAAATTTAAGTTACAGTACTTTAAAGGTAAGCTTCCTTTCCCCCTTAACCTTTTCATTCTTGTTGAATGATGTTGGAATTTTCACAGCTTTCTTACTACTATAAATTAATGTCATATAAATTTTTAACCATGCCCAATACACTCACATCTCTAGAAACAGTATTCTTGTTATTCTTTGAAAACCAGCACAGAATTAGTGACTAGACCTGTGCAATCAAGCAACCACTGTATCTTTAACCATCTGTGGAAAAATTCCTCCACTGTTCCACGCTCAGCATTGAATATCTCACTGCTCTTGATACCACATCTTCTGACATGATAATTTTTTCCAGAGCCTTCAAGATCATTTTTATATTGGACTTTGGAAAGAAACCAGCTTTCAGAACAAATCCTTTGAGACCTTTAATGAGTCATAAATTATACACACACACATGTGCCTGAAAATCGGCAAAGGGAAGCAGCTAATCCCTTCCCAGCCATCTCATATTACAGGTGCATTTCCTGCCCTCCCTCAACTTGTTTAGGAAACATGGAGTTAGGAGCAAAAAAATGCATTACTGCTTCATGACATGTTTCAAGTGAGAGTCTTTTAGGTATAACTAAGTCCTGAGGAAGGCATTGTACATGGTGAGTAGGGGTTCAGCACAGCTTTCTGGTTTATTCCTGACCTTGAGTAGGACACAATAAAAATTAGAGCAGCGTGTTATGATGTATCGCAACCTCACAGTATCTGCATACCATACCTGCGAGAGGTCTGCTACCGCACTTCTTCCAGGAGACACCAAGATCTGCGTTCTCCTGTAGGCTGGATAACGTGTGCACAGAGGGTGTGGAAGTGAGCGCCATGTAGCTTCATGCATAGACAATGCCAGACTGTACTGGCTGTGGTTTGTCTTCAAAGGTTGAGGCAGAGGCAGTTCACTAACTCACCTGTAGGTGCATTGTTAATGAGTGCTGGAGCTGAGGTGAAGCTGTTTCCTGTGTTGTAACCCACGATACCGAGAAGCGTGGAGGGGTCGATATGAATTGTCAGTAGTGACTTGCAGCCACATCAGTGTTTAATGCACTTCTAAGTTCCTCTCTAGGCCTATTTTCAGCTATGTCAATATCTTGCTACAAATAGGACTGTCTTCTTCAAATACACAGAGTGCTGACTCCATCACCGTGTTTTAATGTGCATAGCATAGGTTATCTGTTTGAAAGCCAAAACAGCAGAGAGGATGACTGCAGGCATGAGCAGATAATCTATATTGAAGCTTGCCTCAGAGTACCCATTGCCCTTACTTTGATAACCCTCTTTCCTCTTCCACAGTAGCTGCCCTGTCCTTGGTTTGCTGCACCTGGAAAAGGACATTTGCACTGTCAAACAAATTGAGGTTTTCTGTGGGCTGTACCCACTCCCAGAAGATGTAATGATACACTTTTTCTATGTATACTTTTTGTTTATTTATTTATTTAGACAGTAATGCCAGGGGGTGGGGGGAAACATCCATTGGGGCATTAAATGACCACTGCCTGGAGAAAAGATCCATGTTAGTTTGAAATAGGGCTGGAAAAGAGCATAGCTGCACCTTGGGCCATCACCTGGTGCCCAGGTTTGCTACCACTCTGAGAATGGAGCCACATTATTTTTAATTATCCTAGTGACAGTGGTCTGCAAGTCCATTCTTGGAGATTCCAGAAGTCTACAAACACCTTTTACTGAGCTGTGTAGTGTTGCACTCTGTGACCAGGTTTCACACAAACCCCCAGCTGGGTGTTAAGTATTCTGGTTTTATGAGGCATCTGCTCACACCACAGGCTGGTGGCAGTGTGCGCACTCCAGCCTTGCTGACGTTGCTCCATTGGCCCCACCGCCCTGCACCCTTTGGTGAAGCCGAGGTGCTAACAGCACCAGAAAGGCCTCGCCTGTGCTTCTGAGTAGTTGAACAGAGTTCAAAATATTGGCAGTAGGTGTGCCTAAAATATTGGGCCCATGTACTGGTATTCCTTCTGCTTAGGTGACACGGCCTTTGACAAACTAGCTAGAGCTTACGTGACCTGGTCTTTCCCTCTAGGCTGTAGATAAAGCTTCCCCATTCCCACCAGAGCACTAGGATGCTGCAACACGTTTACCTTCCCCGTATGTGGCACAAAATATCTTGCAATCGTGTGGCCTAACAGTCTCTGGCAGTTAGCATGCTGAAATTTGAAAACAGCTTTTTGTATTAGGCTCATGGTTTTGCATCTAATGTTCCGTTCTTTAGCCAAGTCCTGACATCAGCCTTGATGAAGTTTGTCTCTGGAAGCAGCTGTTTGCAGCTCAGTAACTGCCCCCTCCCCTGCCAAGAACAAAAGAAGTGGACAGTCCACTTCAAGCTCCCATCTCCCATTCAGGGGTAAACTCTTTTTGTCAGTCTGCCACACACACTATTTTCAGGCATGGAAATTGAAATGCTGCTTTCCCAATAAATTAACCATTTTCCTTTCATGGCTGTTGATGTCTTTGGCTGCTGAGATCTCGGTACCTGCTCCGGCATGACTGCCTGACAGTACAGGGGCAAAAGCACATCAGTGTTCAGACAACGTGGGTCTGTCTTGCCTGCCAGATAGTCAACCACATTTCCAAAAGCTTCTCAAGTCTATCTTGTGACTGTCACATGTCTTCAGTGCTGCCAGCATCTGGTTTTGGAGTGAAGGAGCAGAGCTAGGAGTGTCAGAAGACAATGAAAGGAAACTGGTCTGCAACCTTGAATGAACTTTGTTTCAAAGAAGTATTCATACCTGCACAGAGGATCCATCCAGCCGAATCAGACTGGCTGGTTTTATCAGGGAAATAACTGAGAGGGTGAGGAATAAAGAGAGGGTGATTGTTCACAGCGGCTGGGAACAGTTCGAAATAAAATGACTTTGTTAAGAAACTAGAATGCAGGTATGATTTTTCAGACCATAACAAGATTATTTGTACGACATTACTTGCACTACAGATGCCGGGGTAGGACAGATTTTTTCCACCCCTGTGGTAGCCAAGTACTGAGAAAGCTTAATCCTGTTGAATTAATCAAACTGCCGAGGTGACTCTGGCTACTGAAAGAGTAGCTACTGTGTAAACCCTTAAAATCCATGCATTAACTCTAAGCCGCTGGGAAAGTCTTAGCATAATAAGCATAGATTAAGAAAGTCTAGGGCACATCCTGAGACAAACAGGTAATCAGAACATTCCCCGGCATGCACCAAGAAAATATGTTCAGTGCTGCAGTCAGTAGGGAAGTCAGCCACTGTGAAGGATAATGTTGGATGATCAGATCTTGTACAGGAAAGGATGCTCTATACAGCTATTTTAGGTATATTTCAATTTCACCAATTTAAACCCACAGAAAATCCAAGAAGAAAATTAATCTTTTCTATACTCTGAGGATTTACAGCCACTATAGACTATACACCTCACCAATAAAATATTAAAATTGATTCCTCCCCTGTCTTTGGACACCACACAAGTCATGAAACAGTTTCTCAGTTTTGTTCTTTGCTTTTATTTCTGGGACATACGTGCATGAAAATAAGTTGGTAGAAACTCTACTGTATCCCATCACTATCTTATTTCTTCTCAGAAAGTTTGTTTACACCTTCTTGCTATTAGTCAGTAGTTCACAACCTGGTGACCTAGCAAGCATTTGAGCAAAATACTGAGAAGGACTTCTAGCTAGTGCAATACCTCAGTGCCCTTGATCCTCATGCTGTCTGGAAAACCATAATCTTTCACTACTGTTGTGAGAAACATCTCGTGTTGATGAAGAAGGCACATGGGGAAAAGATCCAGCGGGATGTGTCCCTGCCCATGGCAGGGGGTTGGAACTAGATGATCTTTAAGGTCCTTTCCTACCCAAACCATTCTGTGATTCCATGAAAAAGAGCTAGATTTGCTTACTTTATGTAAACATAAAGTCTATGTTTACAATTGCAATCCAAGCAGTCTCTGTTCAGCTGTTGCCCAAATCTGGAGGTATTGCTCACGGGGCTTTTCCCTGTTGCACCCAAGCCTTTTCTGCACACCTACATTTCTGCTTCGAGGCAGGCCTGGAACGAGCCCCTGAAACAACTGGACACCAGGTTCCCCGTCATTTCTGCTTCGAGGCAGGCCTGGAACGAGTCCCTGAAACAACTGGACACCAGGTTCCCTGTGACAGTCCCCACCGGGGCCCAAGCATTCCCCTCGCAAACACCCCACATCACTGCGGGCTGCAAACCTCCCCCCACGTACAAAGCACAGAACAGCAAGACCGGCTGCTTTCTTTGCAAAGCCTCTAGGTGGGTTTGCCACCCATTTGCTCCGTAAGAGCCTAATTGCCTAAAATATCTTCCCACAAGGGGAGTAACACAAGTTCAACGCTTCATCCCTCCTCAGGGGATCCCCACCACCCAGCACTACACCCTAACCAGCAGGAAACCATATAGGCCAGGCCAGGAAGCATCTCCCCAGCCTCATTCCCTCTGTCTCTGTGAAATCAAGAATAAGCACCCAAGCAATAGGAAAGAAAGCGTGAACCCATATGCTCATGGTTTCGGCCATCAGTTTGCAGAAGGAATGCTGCATTTCAGTCCCTGACAGAGGCATTTTTTAGGTATTCTCTAGTAATCAGTCAAAGCATAAAATACAGAACAAAGCCTTGGGAAACAGGCCCTAGGACACCTCTCCCAGCACCCCAGCCACGAGGTCTGCCCTTACACTTGCTGTCCCTCAGTTGCCTGCCCCATAGAGGCACAGCTCACAGAACTGAGAGGAGCCCCCCCACTCCACCACCACAGGCTCACACTGGGGTTGGGGCACTGGGGTTCGGGTGGGAGCCCAAATCTTCAGTCCGAGGAAGACAGCAGGCCCAAGCCTCCGGAGGGATGGGTGTTTTAAACAATAGGCTATTTTACAAAGTG